CTTCCGGCTTGTGTCTGTTCTTAAATTTGACGCCATTTTTGTCATTTCTGGAACTTGGAATTTCCGGAATTGTGTTTTAATTTGTTATTGGAACCACACGCCCAACAAATTGATATTTGTTGAGCGAAATTGATTCAGACACTAGTAAAAAGGATTAATAGCAAAACAAATTTTTTATACATTTGCAATAACTTTCAGGATAAACTGGTTTTAAATTGAAGAAAGGTTTTTATTTGCTTTGTTATATTCAGCTTTGAAAACGTTTAATATACTAGAATTTCTATAAAATTGGGTGTCTTTTGACGTTAATATTACATGATTGTAGTTGGAAAGTATTTAGAATTACAAGCATACCACTTATACGTAATCATAAATCTATACGTTATAAACTTTTTCTTATACATTATACTTCACAGAGAAACGCTTTTTATTTAGAAATACTGACGTTTCCGCAACAAAAATGAACAAAGCTTTTAAGAGAAAAGTTAATACAGTAGAGCGTCGATTTTCCGAATCAATTGGGGACTGGGGTGGTTCGGATAACTGATATTTCGGATAGCTGATTTACGTACGAAAAATAGTTTAACGTATCCAATGTCGAAATTTTTATCCGTTGCGTGTCGCTTCGCGTTGAATTTTCGTCTATGTTAAGCCTACAAAGACTATTGTATCGTTAAAAATTAATTTTTTATTTTGTACAAACAAAATAAATATATTGAAAAATATAAAATTATAAAAAATTATACTTCAGATGTTAATTTAGTATCAAAAACATAAAATATTTGAGTAGCCCAATACATAGCCAAAGATTGAAGCGCCACAGCACTGGCGAAATTTAAATTTGCCGACTGGAATTCTTTCGGATGATTGACTTTCGGAAAATCGACGCTCTACTGTAAATACAAATTACTGTAACAAATGAGTAATAACCGAATGACTTAATTTGTTTCCTTTTAAATGGTTTATATTATTTAATTATTTTATCTGGAACAGGAAATTTATTAGCTCGATAAGACTGCCGAATTATATTTGACTTATAGAAAAAAATTCAAAATGTCACACCAAAAAATAAATAAAAAGCAACAAATATACAGTACTACAATTTGAACAACGATGTTTATTTATGAATCGAGATATACCTAGCAATAACATCTACATTCGTGTGTTAAGAGAAAAATTTTAGTTACAGAATAAAAATTTAGTGAATTGTGAGTGTCTACTCACTTAACAGTAAAGTCACTGAAATTTGATATTAGGTAGAACTCGTTGTAATTAAATGTTAGACTATACATTCACTAACTGCACTAATGTTACGTGTAGTATATAACTAAAACTCGTTTACAAATAAACAGACTACATTCAAATTAAGTGATTGGACTGATAACTTTTAGTTCATTAAGTAACGAACTAAAAATTATTACTTATTAATTACTTATTAATATAACAATAGATTTACTTTTTCATATAATAGTGTTAATTTGAAGTGTGCAATGTTAAATCGTGTGTTTTGTACTGTTATTTTTGAAAATTACAATTAGTGATTGTAAGGAAGAGGAGACAATCATTATTTGACTTAATTATAAATGTTATTGTCTCCCTTCCAGTTTTATATGTTATCCAAAAGTGTCTGGTTGCAGATTGAAGAAATGTATTCCTCTGACATCACTTTCCTGAATTCCAAGAGTGTTGAGAATCCACTCCAAATCGAACTCATTAACTATAAGAAAATAAAAGTATGTATTTAGATAAAGGAAGAATGAAATTACATAAATTATCTTATCTTTACTTATTTACAAATACGAAAATTATATGAAAATAAATTCTCAATTATAGTTAGAAATTTATACAACAGTAAGTCAATATGACTGCTTTCTGTACAAAAATTAGTGTATTGTTTCGGCAAATTTTATGAATTTAAAAGTTCAAAATTTATCTGTAAAATTTTCGAAGTTGTTCAAATCTTAGTTTAATATTTTTTAATACAAGTCTTTCATCGATTGTTAACTTTTGGTACAAAAATTAAATTAATGCAAATTTTTCCTATACAAGTGACCCCCCTATAACACTGTTGATTATTCCGTTTTATATGAATTCCATGTTGTACGAATCACTTAGATTTTACAAATACGTGAGCCGTTCACAGCCTGGCATACATATTTGTAAAATCTAAGTGACTCATACAACATGGAATTCATATAAAACAGAATAATCAATAGTGTTATAGGGGGTTGACTGTACAAATGTAACCTTTAAAAATGGCAAGGTGAATCATTGTCAGCTCAACAAAAGTCTTCTTACAAAGTTCTTCGTGACAATCGTCATATTATCCGATATTAATGAATCCTTTTATGGTTCCTAATTGAGACAAAATCGAGCCGTAAACTGAGGACTTGTCTTATTGCTAGAGGGTCATTCGTGTGTCAAACCGTACCTAAGAATTTTCTCCTAGTACTGTGTTAAGTTCAAAGAGGGCATATCTTTTCGTGACGGGACGAGTTTACCAAGTATGGAGTGCCGCGATTACTTCACCTGTCGAAGATTTGTTTACAACCAAAATTTGTTAGAAATCGTACGCAATATTATACATTACGAAATTTCAGCGCCGTATTAGGGCCTATCTGCTGAATATTAAAGAAAATTTTTTTACAAAAATTCAAACCAACATACTCAAGACTATGTGTGTATTAATTACATTTAATTAACAACTACTTTTTAACTATGACATTGTACTAAATAAAAATTTCGAATTACCTCGATGGCATATGACTTAGTCATCATAATTGTTCCAAAATAATGGAATCCAACGGGTTTTCCATTGATTCTCTTCATGAATGTTAATACCTGATGTAAGAAAAACTCTAAATCATTTGAAGAAATCTTAGAGAATTTAAAATGATTATAATTTGATAAAAGTGATAAAAATCGTGCTCATTTCTTACGATTATATTATCATGTATACTGTGCGTAATAGTTTATAAAAATTAAAATATAACTACTTAGTACGTGTATATGTATTAATTACTTTTAGTTATATTTTCTATTATTTTTAATGTAGCTTATTACATTAAGCAAGTTAGACAATGTGTTAGTGCAGAAAACAGCATTTGTTAGAATTTAAGTGAAATATTTTATCAATTTTTGTTATCACTTACGAATAATGGTACTAATTCAGAAGTACGAATTACAGTAAAATTTATATCATCAAAATTTTATGAAATTCTAATCACACATTCAGATAAAACATGGTAATTCAATGATAAGAGTTTAAAAATTTATAACACCATTCCATTCATTGTCTATTACGACAAAAGATTCTATTCCGCATCATAAATATCTTTTAAAAATTTATTTAATAATGTTTTAACACTGCAGAAACTACATACTTTGAAACGTATATTATAACAGTCTGAATCTATCGTTGTCTACATTGTATGTCTGTAGATTAGTAATCTAAAAACTTTGTAACTTGGCAAAATTATTTGCATATATGGGGCAATCGCGTTGTTTTCTTCTTTAGTTAAAGGTCGTATGGTGGGTACACAGATGAAGATCATATGTCATATCTCGGAAGCGATCAGATTTATTCAATTATTAGCATTTGCATTTTTTTTTTATGAAACTCATTTTAATTTTATATGCAGATTTTTGCTTATTTACAGGAAATCGAAGATATTTTTAGACTAATCTAAAAATTCTCTAATTAGTCTCGAAAACGTGGGGAGGTATGTCTCGCATTCGATGAAAACAGGTAAGATTGACTAAAATGTAATAACCTTAATATTCGCTATTAAGGATGCACCGATAAGCAAAATGGCCGATTACCGATTACCGATTAATCGGCCGATTAGTGTTAATAATTTATTGTGTTAATAGTGTGAGATCCTGGAATTAATTATACGGTTAATTATAACGTGGAAAAACCCCATTTTTCTCTGTCTGGTATTTCCATCTACCTCGGATCAAGTAAACAAGAGATGGTCGAATATCATCGCAAAATCAACAATCTCTTCCTTTGTTTGGGAAAGTTTCTAAGATAAATCTCAACACTTAATTGTTGACGCGTGGAACCTTCGACATTGTTTAAAAAGCTGAAGTATTTCTGTGTCTAATAAAACAAACCGCATCATTCTAGCTACAATAGAACCCGAGATGTTTACGTTCAAAGTTGTGATTATGACAATGGAGTGTCAATTTACACGTGCTTTCGTAGCGTCGGCTTCCCGGTGCGATACACGCTATTTACTTTTTATTATTTACAAATATTTAAGATTTAGTTTCAGCTAATGTTCTGGAAAGACGTTGTACACGTGTTAGACTTAATTATAGCTTTGTAAACACTGGGGACCGATTTAACGGTAATAAACGAACAGGAATTGCAGTTTTAACGTTTCGCAACGCGATGGGGACCATAAAATCGGTAAATAAATAAAATAAAGCAAAAGAAATCATTCAAAAAACATAACCTTATTTAGAATCCAACATATGAAGACCGAAAAAATCGTTAAATGCTGATATCATATGACAAGGTTTCAGGCAAACACAATATATTTTATGACTAGAGTCAAATCGTATATTGCTTGGTCCCTGGAGACACGCGGCTTGAGTGTCTTGTGATAAGTCGTCATCGGAAAATTGTATTTAAATCCAAACCCCTCATGGCTTCTAGTATTGCTTGGAAATTTTTTAAGAAAGATAAAAACGAGAAGTTTTCCAAGTGCAATTTGTGCCAGGCGTCTATATCGAGAGGTGGAAAAAATGCTAAAACTTTTACCACCACAAACATGATAAATCATCTGAAAAAATGTCATTATGAAGTTTTTTTAAAAGAAACTGGAAAGATGAAAAGAGAAAGTTCCGAAACCAAAGAAGCTGGATGTTCATCAGTAACAACGGAAACTGACATCCAAAGGCAAGCTACTTTAACTGAATTAATAGAGAAGAAAAAATTATGGGATATAAATGATCAACGATCCAAAGAAGTTCATTATTTGATTGGAGAAATGATATGTGTAGATATACAGCCATATTCTGTTGTGTCTGATTTAGGATTTCAAAGATTACTAAAAAAAATCGTTCCTAATTACAATATTCCCAGCAGAAAATATTTTTCTGAAAATATCATCCCCGATATATTTCAAAAAGTTCAGTTAAAAATTCAGAAAGCTATTTATGATGCAAAATATATTTCTTTAACTGCTGATATTTGGACAGCAACTACAAACAATTCTCCTTTTTTAAGTGTAACAGCCCACTGGTTGAAGGATGATTTTCAGCAGGAAAGAGCTGTTTTGCGAATTGTTCCCTTTGAAGGTTCCCACACAGCTACACGAATCAGTGAACAGATAAACATTGTTCTTGAACAGTATAAGTTGACAAGTGATAAGATATTCTTAGTACTGAGAGATTCTGCAGCAAATATGGTAGCTGGAATCAGGAATTGCAACTTAGAGGCATTATCGTGCTTTATTCATACACTGCAGCTGACACTAAACGAATGCATATTTTCTCAACAAGATGTTAAAACTATAATCACAGTTAATAGAAATATTGTCACACATTTTAATCATTCTGCTGTAGCTGTAAGCAAATTGGAAGATTTGCAAGAAAAGTTAGGTTTGCAGAAACACAAATTAATTCAAGATGTTCCTACTCGCTGGAATTCTACATACTACATGTTGCAAAGAAACTTGGAACAGCAAAAAGCCCTGGTCACGTATGCCATAGATAATAAAATTCCTACATTGAGCCCATATCAGTGGTCTCTCATTGAAAAAATTGTTCTACTTTTAAAACCATTCGAAGAAATTACTATGGAAGCCAGCAAACGAGAAACCACCTCATCTTCAATAATTCCCACAATAAAGACTCTGAAATTATTCTTATCAAAAGCAAAGAGCAGTAGTTCCTTTAGTGGCATTAATACCACAATAGAAAAATTAGAAAATTCAATAAAAAAAAGATTTTCAGCATATATAGAAAATAAGTCTTTATGCTTGTCATCTTTATTAGATACAAGATTCAAAATTAAATTTCAAAAAGAGGATATGGTAGAGGAAATAAAAAGATGGGCAATTGATAGCTTAGAAGATGTTGATAATTCAAAATCTCAAGAAAAATTAAATTTTGAAGTTTCTACTTCTGGAGATGATGAAGATGGAGGAGAATCTTTAAGTTTTTCTAATTTATTTGATGAATTAGCTTCTGGTAAACGAAAGAATGAAGAAGAGCATGTTTTTAAAAAGAAAGAAAAAGCGAAAGAAATGAACAAACGTTTCGATCAAGAATTAGAAACATATTTACATTTACCCCTTAAACAAAGACATAGTGACCCATTTTTGTGGTGGAGAAGTTCAAAAGAACTTTTTCCTAATTTGAGCGAACTAGCTATGAAATATTTAAGTGCCCCAGCATCTTCCATTGAAAGTGAAAGAATTTTCAGCACTGGAGGTAACATTTATGAGCCGGCAAGAAATAGGTTATGCCCTGAAAATGGTGAAATTCTCATGTTTTTGCATTACAATTTAAGGGTTTTACAGTTTGAATACTAAATGTTTATTTGTTTTAAATCTTTAAAGTTTAAACTTTAAATAAAAGATATCGTTTTGAATAGTTTATATTGTATCTTATAATATGTATTGATAAAAGGAATAATTTGAATTGTAAATTTTTTTTAATATTCAGTTCGTCATATAATAAATAAATAACAGAAATTTATTATTTTTTATTACTAGCATTATACGTAACATTCTAACAAAAATATCAAAATGCAAAATTGGCCGATTATCGAAACCGATTAATCGGGGAAATGGCCGATACCGATTAATCGGCAAAGTGGCCGATACGGCCGATTACCGATTACTTACCGATTAATCGGTGCATCCTTAGTATTTAGATGGTCAGTAGTAATTTTTTACAGGTTAGTAATAAAAGATCTTTTCTTGCATGTTTAAATAATCAAAAGCTGTCTATGAGCAATTCTGTTATATATGTCAATGTTATGCTAGTTGTAAGTATTAAGCGATGGCAGAATTGTAAGGAAGTTTATGCAATATTCTGTAAAATTTGTTCTGTGGAATTTGTTCTGTTTGGCTTTAAGCCGGTTCAAAACGAAGTGTGAAGTTGTACCGCATATAATAGTGTCGTATCTTAATTTACTTTACGTTCATTTATATTCATATATATCCGTCGGTAATGCCAAAGTCAAGACTGACACTACCGTGATTCGTTGGTCGTAGGTAAGCGAGCGAATACGAGATCGGTCGAGTTCGGAATGGATGAAGAAGTCGAGAGACAGCGCGCCAAAAATAATGCTTTCCACTGCGGTAACAACAATTTATTTCGTGAAAGTTAGATCGAGTTAATAAGTGTATAACATAAATGAAAAAGTCTATTCTACAAGCGCGTGGAACAGAGAGACATTGTTTACAACTGAGGATGTCTGTCTGTGAATACTGGTCAGCTTTTCACGTTCTAAACAGTTTCTATGCTGGGTTTTAAATTCAAAACTACATATCCCTTCGTGAGTCATCTTCGAACCTGGCGTTTCACAAAGTTTAATATACAGTACATTCAATTTACTGATTTGCACGTGGCGTCATCTATTAGATAGAACATTTAACAAAATAATAAATTAAACAATTTTTTAAAAAAGCATACAATTTTAAAATAAATTTATATTAGGTTCTTAAACCATAATACTATACTTTCTATATATGAACCTCAGATTTGTACGCAAGTCAGGTTATTTCAATTAAAAAATTTGTTTTAAAGTTTCTAAACGAAGTGAGATACATAACCAGCATGACCATATTGGTAATAGGAAAAGTATGGTGTTTGGGGGCAAAACATTACTACACTGCACGCAGGCAAGTGTTATGTGCGAGCTGTCACATTAATACTGTAATGATTGATCTGTTTCTCGCTATATCGTTTTTGCAGTAATTCAGTTAATATAATATATATATATATAAATTATATCCTTTTTTGTAATTATATTTAGTTAATTATTTTGTTAAATTTTTTTCAATAGATGGCGTTATACATAAAGCCAGCAATCAAATGTAGACAGAAATTATTTGATATATAGAAATCCAATTGATAATTTGAGTGAGATGTATGGTACATGATCTAAGTTAGAAGTACAGTATTTGAATGTAACTACTGGGTTTATTAGCAATTGGTTGAATGGCCTAGGCGTGAATAGTTATAGACAAGCTTCCCACTAGTTAAAACTCTAGTTTTCACTAATTTGAACACTTTTCTGTTAAACATGGCACAATGTTGAAGCTGAGCTTAAACACTTGAACTTGGGCACAATATTAAAAGATTATTAGGCTCATTATCTTGGGCTGCTCAAAAAAGATATAACAACACTACAACACTGTAACAAAGGTACAATAACACAATACTATATAAATATAAAAATCTGTCTCCTGAAATTTTTGACCAAAAATATTATCTTCCATCAAATTTAGTGGGAAGTTCGTCTACAACTTGTCAATATTGTTGGTAATACTGAAGTTGACTAATATCAAATTACTGAACATTTCGAACTAGAAAATGGTTGGATTACCAAGACTGTACTAAAATAGTTGTTCAGAACTCTCTGTAGAAACTATTAGGCAAACCTCAACTGAATTTGGTACTATACAGTTTTGATTTTCAGAAATAATTTTATTTTAAAATTCAACTGCAAGACCAAAATTTGGTATTGTTGTATCCTTAATGTGCATATTATGTAATTTTCTAACAAATTTTGGGAGTTAAAAAACAAAGTGCAATAATTTCATTTTATTTACAGATGTGATAATAGATGTGCTAAGACAGCATTGCTTGGCACATCTATAATTTNGACATCGGTATAAGTCACAGTTATGATTTCACAGATTTGAAACAGCTTGGTAGCCCGAACGACCCCAGGCTTTCGCCCGTGCACGCTAAGTGACTTTCATTACAAGCATTTAGCTTTCCGAAGTCTATGACAACAATTGTTTGGCATTCACAGCCGCGAATTTCGCGCCAATAAGCTGCCTCGACTTGTTCTAGGCAGTTTATTGAGTTGATAACATAATCGACTTGTTCCATTATGTTATCAACTTAATAAACTGCCTAGAACTTCGATTATGTTATCAACTCAATTTCATATTTATTTTCACTTTGCAGTCCTTCTCTGTTCTTCCGTTATTTACACGTGTAGGTCATTTCATTGTTATCCACATTTAATATCATCACTTATCACATACTGCCATGACGCTCTTGTCTGAACTGTCAAGAATTAACGCGATTGGCGAAGCGTAGTGACAGTGGGCTAATAGAGAGCACGGTCTTTGCCATAATGCGGTTTGCGCACCAATTTCGTACGTGCGTTAATCAAGCCGATTACTTTTGCCGAATATTCGGCTATTCGGCCACGCTCCTGGCCGAATATTCGGCTATTCGGCCACGCTCCTGGCCGAATATTCGGTATTCGGCCTGAGGCCGAATATACTATTCGTTATAACACTACATCAAACAATATCATGAACTACCTTATAATTCTATCATCGCTCTATACATACAACCATGATAACATCGAAAAAATACGTTTACTGTATTTTATAAAAAGCGAGTGCTTCTAGATAGTTTCGAATTGATTAAACTTTGCAAGAAAGTATTTTTTATTAGTAACCTGTTAAAAATACTACTGACAATGTAAATACAACTACAGATGGAAAAATAACTTTCTACTGCTAACATTCGAACGTTGATTTATCAAACGATATAGAATTGGAATGGCCTAAAAAGAAAACAACGTGTGAAAACCTACAAACAATTTAAAAATGCTATCAAAAGCTTGACTGATGTTTGCCTTTCTATATTGATTGTTTTATGTTCGTTATTACTTTTTCCGGTATGTTTGTTATAGTGTATTTATATTTTGCTTAGACACTTGCAATAGGCTTATTGCCGCAGTGTCGTAAAGAAATAACAAAAATAATTAATTAAATAGAAATAAAAAGACCGCTAATTCTTTTCAATATATTCCTTATTTCTAAAGCGTAATATCCCAAATACAGTATGCGTTTCTCCTATACAAAAAATATTACAATTAAACCTGTTTATAATGGAACCTCAACAGACCGAACAACTCTTCCACTGTAGACAGATATCCACTAAATTACCCACTATAGGTATTTCTTGTGTAATGCGATTAATTAATTTCTCGATATGTACCGCGTATATCAAAAACCTGTTAACCAAATAACGTACAACCTTTGTCATACATACATTTATATTTGAGGAAAATGTAGTCGTTACTTCAAAAAAGAACACGACGTTGACAACGTTTTTCAGTGCTGACCAACAAAATGATACTCATGCTATTTAAAACAGAACACGAACGAACATGGATAGTCTTTAGAAAATAAAACAGAAACCGAGACAACGCATCAATTCAACAATGTTAATTTAACTTGTACCACATTCGATGATACTTACTTTACAATGAATTTACTTGACAACAGCCACATATGATGGCTGTTGTCAAGTAAATTTAAAATCATTACCGACACAAACTGGATTTTATTGCTAAGTCTGTTTTTAGGAGATTAAAAGTACAAACATATTATTGTTTTCCGACGGTGAATTAGGAATAAATTGAAATAAACTGATAATACTTGTTGCATGACTGTGCTTAATTGCAAATATCAATAAAAAAGATTTAAAGAAATAGTTATTAAAGAATTGTCAGTTGCGTTTTTATAAAATAATTTCTATAAACATACTTTTTTTTATTAAAACTTAAAATTTTTTATTTAAAATTCCAAAATTATAAATCGTATAAATTAACGAGGCACAAACATTTATTATCGTAAATAAAACAATCTTTCTTAAAGAACTAAATTTTATGATGTAATGTATTGTTAACTTATAAATCAATCCATAACTAGATTTTGTTGAATGACCCGAAGATAACAAGCCGAGCCGTACATGTCCTCTTTGCACAAAACTTTTTCCATCGTCTGATGTTTTAAGAATTCACATGAGATTTCATACCGGGAATTTGCCATATTCATGTAATATATGCAACGAGAAATTCAGATATACATTTCAATTAAAAAAACACAATCAAAAGTTTCACCCGGAAGAAAAACCTCCACCTTGTTTCGAGGTAAGTGCACAAGAATTCTAATGACTGAGCTTTCAACAAATATAGTTTAAGCTCGATTCACAAACTAATTCTAATCATAGGATGCTTTTTAGAGCAGAAAGTCCATTATGTTATAACGTAGTTTAAGAAATATAAATTAATTAGTTTAAAATTTTTACTAATTTAATTATGTAGATGTTTGATTAATTAAAATTAAGCATGCCTATAAAGATTCATTTCACAGAAAAGTTTTAAAATCATAGTAAAAAATAATTGTCGTGGAAACTGTACAATGCAAATTTTCAAAACGTTTTTAGAACACTTTTATGAAGGCTTTACGTAATGACTCTAGAACATTTTAAGTGTTCCAGAAAAATTTTTACTTTCAAAACCCAAAACTGACTTTATAAGTACACGAAAATTGCTCTTTATCTTAATTAATTAATTTATGAAGTAAATTATTAAATCTTTACG